GGATCTGAAGAGGGAAGCGATACGTATTTGCCGCAACAAGAAGAGAGAGGCCGAAATACGTGAGTGCGAAGAGCTTGAAATGCTGGCCGACAGGAGGAATGCACGAAAATTTTACCAGAATAATGGCGACCTAGTAACTGATGTCCAGGGCGTACTTAAATTATGGAGGGAGCACTTTTCCGCCCTACTAAATGGTAGCAGCACGGAAAGTTGTGGAGAAGAAGAACCCGAGCCCGCAGTCGATGATGACGGAGTCGACGTTCCACCGCCTGACTATGACGAGGTACGTATAGCAATAACGCGGCTGAAAAACAACAACGCTGCTGGAGCTGACAGCCTGCCAGCTGAGCTATTCAAGTACGGCGGCGAGGAGTTGATAAGGTGCATGCATCAACTCTTGTGCAGAATATGGTCAGATGAACGCATGCCCGACGACTGGAATTTAAGTGTGCTCTGACCAATCCACAAGAAAGGTGACCCCGCCATTCGCGCCAACTACCGCGGGATCAGCCTTCTATGCATAGTTTACAAGGTCTTATCGAGCGTATTGTGTGAAAGACTGAAGCCCACCGTCAATGAACTGATTGGGCCTTATCAGTGTGGCTTTAGACCTGGCAAATCCACCATAGACCAGGTATTCACAATACGCCAAATCTTGGAAAAGACCCGCGAGAAAAGGATCGACACTCACCACCTATTTGTCGACTTTAAAGCCGCTTTTGACAGCACTAAAAGGAGTTGCCTATACGCCGCTATGTCTGAATTTGGCATCCCCTCAAAACTCATACGGCTGTGTAAAATGACGTTGAGCAATACCACCAGCTCCGTCAGAATTGGAAAAGACCTCTCCGAGCCGTTCGCCACAAAACGGGGTTTCAGACAGGGCGAGTACCTTTCATGTGACTTCTTTAATCTGATATTGGAGAAGATAATAAGAGCTGCAGAACTGAACCTCTCAGGAACAATTTACTACAGGAGCGTGCAATTGCTGGCTTATGCCGATGACATCGACATCATCGGTAACAAAAACCGCGAAGTCTGTTCTGCCTTTTCCAAGTTGGATAGGGAAGCAAAGCGCATGGGTCTGGTGGTAAACGAGGACAAGACGAAGTATCTCCTGTCATCAAACAAACAGTCAGCACATTCGCGCCTTGGCACCCACGTCACTGTTGAAAGTTACCATTTCGAGAAAGTAGAGAATTTCGTTTACTTGGGAACCAGCATTAACACCGATAATAATGTCAGCATTGAAATCCAACGTAGAATCACTCTTCCCAACAAGTGCTACTTTGGACTGAGTAGGCAATTCAGGAGTAAAGTCCTCTCTCGACGTACGAAAACCGCGCTCTATAAGTCACTCATCATGCCCGTGCTGGTATATGGCGCAGAAGCATGGACAATGACAACATCCGATGAGGCGGCTCTTGGAGTGTTTGAGAGAAAGATTTTGCGGAAGATTTACGGGCCTTTACGCGTTGGCGACGGCGAGTATCGCAGACGATGGAACGATGAGCTGTATGAGCTTTACAACGATATGGACATAGTGCAGCGAATTAAAATACAGCGGCTCCGCTGGCTTGGTCATGTCGTTCGAATGGACACCGACGCCCCAGCTCTGAAAGTATTCAACTCGGAACCCGCTGGTGGTAGCAGAGGAAGAGGGAGGCCCCCACTGCGATGGAAAGATCAGGTGGAGAAGGACTTGGCTTCACTTGGCGTTTCCAATTGGCGTCAGTTGGCACAGAGGAGAAACGACTGGCGTGCTTTGCTGAACTCGGTCAAAATCGCTTAGGCGGTTACAGCGCCAAAAAAGAAGATAAGAAGAATTCTTAATGTAAACTGGGTTATTGTCTGTCAATCTTAGTTTTTGTTCGTAAAAGTTATTTGACGTCATTTTGTGGTCGGGAACAGCAAATATGTCTGCGTAATCTACACACAAGTTAAGTAATTTGCCTTTTCAAAACGCTAATCAGTTCTTTTGTCCGATTGTCATCGTTTCTTGTCTTATTAATTTCTCAGTCCGAATGTTACAGTTCTTTACGTATTTTATATCGTTTGTGGTATTTATGACTTTGTGACGATTGGGTTGCTTGTACTAATTATGCATCGCGCTGTGAATGCACCGCTATCGATCTCTTGTGATTCCACAAACATTCCCTAAATTAAAAAGTCGGAAAACTTCGCATCTGGGTGGAATTACGCAGGTATCGCTTTCAGTTCCGCGAAGAATCGGAATTGCAAGTTTTTTATTACCTACCCAGAAGGAAATGCAACTGCTTGCATAGCTCATAACGCATTTATTAGTTTTTAAGAAGTCTTTACCCAATATACCGTCTGCTGGGATATTAAAGTCGTCGTTAACCACATGTAGCGTATGTGTTATAAAAAAGTCCGAAAAAGTCAAATTTGTCGTTATTTTACCCAGAGTAGCAACAGTATTAGAAGTGACGCCCGTTATGCGGATAATATCATTCGTATCAATTGGAAAATTTTTGCAAAAACTTGAAATTTGTATTAAAGAAATGTCGGCTTGTGCGTCGACCAAAAAATGAACATAACTTATTAGACCCGGAAACTTGTAATTGGATGAAATCTGAATAATTTAGGTTTAAGCAGTAAATGCTTTTTGCTATAGAAAATCGTTTAGTTGTTTAACTCCTGCTCCCCCAGTGTTCGCTCCTGAGGGGCATGAGCTTTTAAAGCACGTACATTTGCGTTCCTACTCCTACCGTTTGCTGTTCGTGCATTATTGTTCCTATTGGTGTTGTTGTTGGAATTAACCCGTGAACGATTGTTGTTATTATTATAGCGGTTCCCGTTAGCGGATCGATATCGTTGACTGCTGTAAATATTGAAGTTATTATTATTGGAAGAAGCAAATGACCAGTTATTTCCTTAACCAGTAAAACTGCGAGTTGGGTTAGTCCCATGATAGCCACCACGTGAATTTCTAAACGTATTGATACCACGCGATCGAAAAGTTAAAACCTGACGCTCCTTCACCTCATTATTCTGCTATACAATTAGTTTTGCAACTACGTCTTTAGAATCGGAAAATTTTGTTAATGATAAAATTGATTTTACTAAGTCAGACCTGCTTTTAGACGACAAACGTTAACAGTTTGCTCAATCGCCATTTCGTGAGCCTTTTCTTGAGTTATAACTTTTATGATTAACGACCGCTCAAGTGAATCTGATAGTTCTTCAACGCGTTTGGCAAAGTCTGAATAATTGTTGTTGTTAACGTGTAACGCCGCTATTTTCCCTGCCACAACTTTCGAGTTGTCAGGCTTGATTCTATTGCGTAGCGCAGATTTTATGTCACTAATAGAATTTATTTTTGTAGGTATGGCTTCGCGGGCTTTGCCCTCTAACTCAGATTTCAAAAATGCAATTAATGTACTGGTCAAATTTTCTTCAGCTAAGTCCTCAATCAAGCTAATCTTATCTAAAAACGCCTCGAGCGCTAACGGTACCCCACTATAATTTTCTCTAATAATTGAAGCACAAAGGCTTATGAAAGACTTCTTTTGCTCTGCTGTGGCCATTTCTGTAAAAACTTTGGAATAAATTGAAAAATTAGGTGAACTAGTTGCAGCTGCTGGGATCTCTAATAGACTTAGCGAATCTTTGATACTTGGAAGCGGAGCGCTTCTTTTAATGGCAAAACTTACTGAAGCTTGTGACTTTGCGTCGGGCTACTCTTCCTCGCTATCAGAGTTAGCTAAATCTGTTTTGTAAATTAATGCTAGAGGCTCTATTGGAATTTTAATCTGAGAACTCAATTTTATAAAACACTTGCTTAAAAGATCCTTGCAACGTGTTAACTTTTACTCACACGATTCGCTATGACCTTTGACGTGTAATAAAATATTATTGTACGAACTTACAAGCGAATCTATACACTCGTTAACTTTTGTTACATTTGTCAAAAGGGGACGATTTTGCAAAATTCGCTTCGTAATTTTTAAAAATTCTCAATACTTTTCATCAAATTCTTCGTCAAATTTGGTCATTACACGTTAAGTTTAATGAAACACAAGAAAAATTACTTCTGCTAACTGCCGTTCCCCGAGTTTAAAAATGAAAAGTAAAGTTTGCAAACTGTATTGAGTTATGTCCATATAGTCCACAATCCGTTGAAATTTTTCATGCAATGAAGCAGGGAGTATTTCACTTGCAACAGGAGTAGGTTTTTATCGTGCAAATTCACATGCAAATTAAAAAGTTAGCTTTTTTTAAATTGTTTTTATATATGTATTTTAAAAGAATTGTCCAATAGCAAAGTGTTTGGTACACATGTACATCAGTAAACGGTTTTGTATTAACTTTAATAACTTCCAGGAAGTTGTATTTTGTAAAAAAATAAAGCAATTAAATCGATGTAATCGAAAAAAGATCCACAAAATTGTATTGACTCACTTAAAGCTAGTAATGTTTAATATTGTTGAAATAAAAATTGTATTGTGTGTTTAATATTTTTGAAAAGGAGGATTGTATTGGGTCACTTAAAGCTATTAATGTTTAATGTTGTTGAAAAACGTCCCTTTTATCAAAATGGATACTGTAAAATTTTTTGTTTCTATGCGCTTCAAAAATTCATTTCTGTTTTTCGGAAAATATGTTTTAGTGTAATTTTTAAAGGCTCTATTAAGGTGCTGGCCCAATGCAAGCTGGCTTTGCTTGCTTTGCTTCGATCACTGTCAAAAATAATTGGAACAATACTAAAATGTATGAAACGAGAACAAATGGCAGCTTTGCTTCAAGCACTTGAAGTACGGCGAAGTTTCAAATAGCTCAATGTTCTATTTGACAGCGCTTTTGACAATGGAAATTGTAACATCCCTGCTGTTCATTTGTTTTTATTTGGTTTATAGCTTCATTTACGAATTTCGAGCGATTGAAGATATTTAATTTGATTTTAAGTTTTTCTGCAGAAATGTTCGCAGAAAATTTAATAAATGCAATTGAAAAGCACCGGTGTATCTGAGACAAAAGCCAGTTGTGTTACAGGGATAAAAACAAAAAAGACATGGCCTGGCGCGATGTGTCTGCTGTTGTTGGGGAATCTGGTAAGTACCAAAAATCATGATACATGCATGTAATATAACTAATTGTATATACCTGCACACATTTTCCATTTAAAGAGGCTGACTGCCGCAAACGGTGGAAATCCTTGCGTGACCGCTTTACTATTGAGTTGAAGTTGCAGCACCAGCCAAGTGGAAGTGCTACTTCGTTCAGGAAGAACTGGGCTTATTTTGATACTCTGTCTTTTTTAAAAGGAACTGTTGCACCCAGAAAGTAAGTAAATGTACGTTTAAAAATATGGAAACCATTGCGCTTACACTTAGATTTTTATAGCACAACCACCAACATTACTACCGAAATAGAAGACTCTGGGTCTTCATTTGCGTTTGACTTCAACGAAAGTGGCAATCTAGTTTTAAATAGTCAAACAGAAGACTCGGAACCTGTTCCTCCTAAACGTAAGAAGCGAAATGAAGATCAGGACAGCAGCTTGAATTCATTAGTTGAAGATGTAAGTGGATTTTTGAAAAGCCAAAAACCTTACGACAATATCTTGGGTGCCATTGGGGATATTTTCGAAAAAGTTTCCCAAGATCAGCAAATTGATTTTAAGTATGTCCATGAAAAATTTAATTGTTTAAACGAAAATTCAAACGCCTAAAATCAAAATTAATACGTTTGTGAATGAGTAAATTTAAGAATTTTGAAATTTTATTTTTAAGTTTTATGCAAAATGTCAACTGCGGGCTCATTCGGAAATGCATAAAAAAAGCATCAGTCTCTCTTATATCTATACTATAGTAGATGAAAATGTCTAATATGCATAACAAAGTTGAAACCCATTGAGGTTGCGCATATGAGACATCAACATCTACTATTGTATAAAAATAAGAGACAGTGAGACTTTTTAGCCATTTCAGAAACCAGACTGTGATACTTTTAAAGTACAAATGAACTACACTTTTTATGTTTTAAATTTTACGTAATATATGTACATGAACAGCGGTCAAAATAATATTATCACTAGTCTTGATAATTAGTTTTCAAATTTAATTTTAATTGTTCTTATAAAAATGTTGTTCATTATATAACAAAACCAAATACACTTGTGGTCAGCTGATTAAGTTAAGTGACATTTTAACTAGTTTTGGCTATTTTTCCTTTGTTTATTTAATGTTTATATTTTTTTATAAAAGTCTAGCATATTACATAACCAGACTAATATAAATCCACATTCCAAACTTCGTACAAAAATGATAAAAATTCAACAAACTTTAACTATTACAGCCAAAAAATTTAAACTTTTTATTCAGAATTTTTAGAAAAATTTTAAGTATGCAGTTTTATAAAAATAGAAGGTTTAAAATTTTTGGATGTACTTAAAGTTTGTTGAATTTTTATAATTTTTGTATGAAGTTTGAAATATGGATTTATATTTGTCTGGTTATGTAATATGCTAGACTTTTATAAAAAAAATATAAACATTAAATAAACAAAGGAAAAATAGCCATAACTGGTAAAAATGTCACTTAACTTAATCAGCTGACCACAAGTGTATATGGTTTTGTTATATAATGAACTATATTTTTATAAAATAAAACATTTAATGTTAAATTGAAAAAAACCATTCAATTTTATTATGATTAAGTGGTTTTTGCTATAAAATGAACTATATATTTAAAAAAAATAAAAATTTTAATTAAATTAAAAACAAATGAATTGTCAGTATATCACACTGCTATTATAATGACCGCTGTTTTACGTTTGTCCAAACTGTGTTTATTTTAAAGCGAAAGTGATTTAAACTGTTATGTTATAAAAATATAAAATAACTTTATAACACCGTACAAGAATACCAAAAAATTTGAATTATTCATATTTTTGAAATTTCAAAGTCCTTTCAAGTCTTTTTTTTGTGTGTAAAATTTACAGTCGCAAGGTGTAATGCATGATGCAAATATTTAAAGATAAAATCACTCGCTCGATTCGTCGGCCATCATTTATTTTTTGAAGTTTGTCTACTTTAAAAAATTTAAATTATGTTAACAAACTTCAAAAATGTTCAGGCTGCCTCTCAGCGGTTTTACCTTCAAATTTTTGTATCATGGTATAGTGTAAAGAATGCAGTCGGACAAAATTATTTTATTATAAAAATATACAAAAATATTACTTACCCTGCTCTTTACATAAGTAATATTGAATGTGTTTTCTTTTTATTTAAGTTAATTGATTGAATTAATTTAATTTTATTTCAAATTAATGAGAAAGTTAATTAAAAAAAAACATGAAGTATTAAATTTTGTTATTGAACAAATGTGTTTTTAATTTATCTCTTAAATCATAGTTTGCTGCACTGCATCTATTCGATGAAACTTGACTAATTGATGGTAAGGGCAGAGTCTCCCTACGCCATGCTCCATCGATCGTGGTATCATCTTCATAACTATCAACGATATCACTACTCACATAGTTATGAGTTGATAATTTTAAAAAATTATGTAGAACTATGCACGCTTTCACTACTTTTTCCGCATTATTTGGAGCCATGCACAGAGTAGTTCGAAGGATCCTCCATTTTGCAGTAAGTATTCCAAAGGCGTTCTCTATTATTCTACGTGCCCGAGTAAGCCTTTTATTAAAATATTCCTGCTCCGGTTGTATAGCTCTACCCGGGTAAGGCCTCATTAAATACCGACGCAGAGGAAATGCTGCGTCACCAACTATATAGTGGGGGAATGGCTCCAATTCTCCCGGTAATGGACAGTCTTTCGGAATATTGAGAGAGTTATTTTCGATAGCTTCCGAAATTTTCGAAAATTGGAAAATACCGCCATCGATTTGGCTGCCGTATGCCCCAATATCAACACATGTAAACGTATAGTTGGCGTCACATATTGCCATAAGTACGATACTGTAATTGCCTTTATAATTATAAAACATCGAACCTGAGTTCGAAGGGCAAGTTATGTTGATGTGCTTTCCATCTATGGCGCCGATGCAGTTCGGCATATTCCACATTAATTTAAATTCATTTGCAATACGTATCCACTCCGTTTCGGTAGGTGTCGTTACATAAAGTTCTGACAGCGAATTCCATATTACCTCACATGTTTCAAGTGTTATTCTTCTGAATGTGGTTAATCCCATTCTATGTACGAGCGTATGAAATTGTCGGGTACCACCGTGAGCCAAATATCTACCAAGTGACAAGAGAACGTGAAATAACAAAAACACTATAAAACTGTAGTTTACTTACAATAGTGTTATAAATAATCTGCATTGGGAAGATATTGGAGTCCTGATTGAATGTTTTTTTTAATGAATTCTCCAGCAATTCGTGCAATACGTTGAACAGTGAAAGGGGCATTCGTAATGATTTCTTGAATTGCTCCTCGTCCCTTGCAAGGTTGCGCAAAGCACTTTCAAACAACCCATGATTTTGTCGATCTAAATATAATTTTCGCACCCAAAACCTCCGTCGTTGGCGTGATTTGCGTTTTATTATAAACATTTTTACTATTAAAAGAAAAATTCGCAAAATATTTTCACTTTTTCTAGTTAACATCTCTGTTTCTTTTGTTTCTTTTACAAATCAGCTGATTGTTATGACAGCGTTCAAAGTCCCCATTTGGTCATAGAAACTTTTAAAGCAAATCAAGTCAAGCGAAGCCAGCAAAGCCAGCTTGCATTGGGCCAGCACCTTTAGGATTGGCAACTTTTTTTTTGTCGATGGCTTAAATTCTAGGAAATCACATCAAACATCTTAATGGTAGAAAAAAAATTAAGAAAGTGATGTTCATATACATATATGTATGTATGTATGTATGTATGTGCAAAACTGCGAAACTTTAGTTTTATAAATTCATTTCAAAAACTTTTTTTTTAATCAATTAATGCATTTTTGGGCTAGAAAATGGAAAAGAATTATTAGGAAACAAATTGATCCCCTGAAATATATTAATTATGAGAATTTTGCGGTCGAATCCGTGTCACTTATAGTAAATGAATGGAAAAAAAATCAACTTACTTAAATTTAATAGTATAGAAATTCACTGGAAATGTAATTCACGGCTTGTGGTTAGAACCGCGGCATTTAAGTATTTAAGAAAAAGCGTTTTATACATATATATGCAGAATTGCCATTTATAATGTAGCTAACAAAACTTTTTTTTACGATTTGTACATTTGGAGCTTTTCGGCCGTTGATTTTAAAGCAAAAACGTTGGTTTTTCTTTTCTGCCTCCTACGCATTTCGACACATTATTGTGTCTTCCTCAGGGAGTCTATTTATTTTTACAAGAAAACATAATTAACAAACTTGTATACCAAAACATGTTTTTCAAACATACCTTAACATATAATAACATAAAATCTCATTAATTATTTTATGGACATCACATTTTTAAATTAACACTTAACATTTAAATACATCAATACTTTATCCCAGCTGATCGTCTATTACTCGCTATTATCGCTGTGTATGCGCAATTTATGTTGTCTACATCTTCTTTGTAATTCATTGCACAGTGTATTTGTTGCTGTATCCGAAGCCCTTCTAACGTCATCCTTTTCTTTGTTTTCCTCTCGATGTCTATTATTCTTGCATTATCAAAGTCCGCTGTGTGCTCGCTTTTTGTCAGGTGCTGGGCTAATGCAGTTGTCATCTTTCTATTTTTCGCGTCTGTTTTATGCTCGTTGATTCTGACTCCTAAAGCTCGCTTCGTCGTTCCTATGTATACCTTGCTGCAGCGTTCGTCAGCTTTGCCATTGCATTTAATCTCATACATGACGTTGTGTTGTTGTTCTTTGTTTATTTTGTCTTTTGTTTTGGTAAAAACTGTGTTGAGTGTGCGATGCGGTCGATGCCCAAAACTTATTGTTTCGTTATGTATAAATTTTCCTAGCGATTTGTTGTCCGTTAAACCTGGTATGTATGTTATGCCAGTAAATGCTCTATTATCATATTTAGTTTTCATATTGTTGTTCGCGCCTTCTATTTTGTTAATTGTTGTTGCTATGAATCTTTCTATGAGCGCGCTAGGGTATCCGTTTTTATATAAGATGGTTTTAATTTTATTCTTGCTCTCTTTTCTGAACTCCTGGTCGCTGACTTTATAAATTTTTTCAATTAAGTTCATGGCAGTATTTTTCTTTTGACTCCATGGGTGATTTGAATGAAAATTTATCATCCTAGATGAGGCTACAGCTTTTGAATACCAATTCAGTCTAATCTGATTATTATCTCGATGGATTTCAACATCTAGGAAGGCTAACCTATTATTTTTTTCCTCTTCCGCTGTGAATTTAATTTTTGTATGTTGTGCATTAAATTCTTTTAGTATAACCTCCACATCCATTTTCTTAATTATGGCAAATATATCATCTACATATTTGTTTATGTATTTTATATATATGCCCTTAGATCTAAGTTCTGCGATACTATCATCCAGTATTTTGTCTAAGACAATATCAGCTACAGTTGGGGATAAAGGGTTTCCCATCGGCATTCCATATATCTGCTGGTAGTGTATTCCATCATAAACAAAGTAATTGTTGTCTCGCAAACAGAACTCGAGAACGGACTGAAATTGTTTTTTTGTAATCGTCGTGTGTTTTTCCAAAATTTGCCAGTTTTGCATGATTTTCCCAATTGCTAATTCAGTAGGGATATTAGTAAACAGCGATATTACATCAAATGATATTAATATTTCGTCATCTTCAATGGTAGTCTTGCTGAGATTGTCTTTAAGTTGAAAGGAGATTTTTATATTGTAACTTTCTGAGACAATATTTTTCCTATAAATTTGGCGAGGTTGTGTACGATGTATGTATGTATGTGTACAGTTAGTGGTGGTGGCGTGCTTTTATATGTACATAAGTACCGCTGTATAAAATAATGGCTGCTCCTCTAGAACCACGACCACGAACCGAGGGACTAAGATATCGCCCCGTGCAAACCACGACCACTTACCCCAAATGTTGGTGTTTTAAATTTAGGCTCTTTTCATTTTTGCCTGGACACCACGGTTCCTTGGCACGGTCGCCATTTAAAAGGTCGCCGGTACGTGGGGCGTAGCACCCAAATTTGACAAAAAACTAATTAACTCACCCACGACCAGTAATGCGCCGCTAGTGGTATAAACGGCGCTCTGCTTCTCTGGGCCTGGCTCCTGGAATGTACACAGAACTCGGCAGCTGCTCCTCGGGGTTGGCTGCTTACTTTTTACACGGCCGCGCCAAAAAAATAACCTTTTACTTTACACACACGTCCACTACTTTGTGGTTTTAAAAATTACTTTTATTTCAGTTTAATTTTCTTTATGTCTAGGCGGACTACCGTTCGGTTTAAGTAACGAGTAGCGAATGATTGGCTTCCTTGAATCCGAGCTACGATATACCTTCTAGAACGAATGTGGATCGTAAGCTCGGCAGTGCTGACAACACACGCGATGTTTTTTTATTATTTTGGGCAACATAAGTGTTGCCATATAGAAGTTACCACATCGCATGTGGTGCCATTACAGCATATCACAAGAATCTTTTAAAAATCAGTTCAAAATCTTCTGAAATATTAAGTTCGAGGATTTGACCTTTGACCCGTTATAGCACCTGTAATATAAGTTTTCACAAAAAAGTTATATACCATATAAATAAGAGAAAAAGCCGGACCACGTCTGTATTTTTACTTTTTTTGCCTTTTACATGCAATAATTAATAATAATTTTGTTTTCCAGAGGTCCAATTTCGAACTTCGAAGGCCCCTACCTCGATTTCGGAGGCTAACTTCGAAAAACGGAGAACTTACTTTTTACACTTATGACTTAAAAAAAGATGGTTTGGTCCAATACCCAGTCGAGTGCTGTACAGTGTAATTCATGAGTTAGTAAATATTCTTAATTTTTGTCTATAGTTTGGCTTGTTGGGTGATAATTGAAATTAATGAAATAATTATATCAATCGTGCAATTAAAAAACGTCAAAAATAATTGAAAATGATCAAAAATAACAAAGTAATCATGTAATTTAAATTAATGAATTAATTAAAAAATGTTAATTAATTAATAATCATTGAAAAGGTGCTCATATTGGTATTTAATCATTAAACTGTTATTGTAGTATATTCGGATGCTAAAATATTAAGTTAGGTTATAAGGTGTAGATCCTATGGTTTAGTATCGAACTGCAATTACTGTTTTCTTTGTTATACTCTTATACTCGCTCAGCAGCGCAAACGGGCAAACTGAATTTTCTCACTAGCTAAGCACAGTTATAAGCATAACTAATGTCATTACGTTAAGCATCTATATACATGAAATAAATTAAAGAGCCAGTTGGATTTTGAAGCTCCAAGCGTCAGGTATTTGATTTCCACGCCAGGGTAG